TTAATGTAGACACATTATAATTTTCGAGTTATGCTCATATTAAAAAGTATGTCTTCAAATCAATATTTATCGATATTCTGAAAGGAAAGACATTACTGCTGCCTGTTGCATACCGTGGCCCAAAACATGTATACCCTTTCTAAACTATTTTCAGGGTATCATAATATCGCCCAATGCAATATTAGAGTCAAGTGAAAGGCATTTATTCAAAAACCAATTTATTTTTATGATTTTTTATCTTGTGCTTCTAATCTTTATGATGAAATCGAGCCCCAATTAATTCCCCTGTCTGTCTGTTTCCTTGCGGAAGCTCGTGTCTACTCGAAGTTGGCAAATGCGTTGCGATCGGATAATGTGCGCGATTTAATTGCACGAAACTTGCCAAAAAAAGGGGGGCTTCTCTCTCGACCAGCAACAACCCTTAAGGTTAACCATCCACCAGAAGTGGTTGACTTAAGATGGGAGCGGGGAGGGGGGGGGGGGGGGGTAACGGGCGGTTGGGATTGCAATAACATTACATATGGCTTGGTACTTTTGCTTACGCATCGATTGGCCTTGGGTCTGGCAACTGCTGCAGCAAGTCCGCAACAAAAGGGGGCAGTCCCCAAAGTGCTGCTACTCCCCTTTCCCCTTCCCCTCCCTCCCCCCTCGTTTAAACAAATTCTACTTAAAGCGCTCACTCGGAAGTCCGCCGTTTATTGAAGTCTTTTTGATGGCGGCTGCGACGTGGCCGCCCGCTTATTGTCTGCCTGAAGGGTTCAGGCGCTGTTTTTGACAACAGCAAAAAAAAAAATAGAAATAAATAAAAGGGGGAAAAACAAACATTTTTATTAAAATTATAATGCTTACGCATGGTAAAGCCAGCGCTTGGGCTGTCCATTGGCCACCACCCGACGTCGGACGTAATTGCAGACGTGCAGCACACATGAGGAGGCCGCCCTTCAAGTTCTTACCAGTCTCTTTGAATGCCCTTGCACAGAGTATTATAATGTGGTCGCGAAATGTGTAACGCGAGGCAGGAATTCACAGAGCATATATATGTTCTTGATCAGTATTAATAGACGAGACGATGTGGCAGTTTATATAGTAGATTGGGAAAAGACTAAGAAGTAGAAGTAGAAGTAGAAGTAGACGTAGAAGTAGAAGTAGAAGTAGAAGTAGAAGTAGAAGTAGAAGTAGAAGTAGAAGTAGAAGTAGAAGTAGAAGTAGAAGTAGAAGTAGAGTAGAAGTAGAAGTAGAAGTAGAAGTAGAAGTAGAAGTAGAAGTAGAAGTAGAAGTAGAAGTAGAAGTAGAAGTCGAAGTAGAAGTAGAGTAGTAGAAGTAGAAGTAGAAGTAGAAGTAGAAGTCGAAGTAGAAGTAGAAGTCGCCGTAGAGTAGTAGTAGCCGTCGCGTCGCCGTAAGTAGAGTCGTAGAGTCAGTCGCCGTCGCCGTCGAGTCGCCGTCGAGTAGCCGTCGTCGCGCGTCGCCGTCGCCGTCGCCGTCGCAGTCGCCGTCGCCGTCGCCGTCGCAGTCGCCGTCGCCGTCGCCGTCGCCGTCGCCGTCGCGTCGTCGCCGTCGCCGTAGTCGCCGTCGCCGTCGCCGTCGCAGTCGCCGTCGCCGTCGCCGTCGCCGTCGCGCCGTCGCCGTCGCCGTCGCCGTCGCCGTCGCCGTCGCCGTCGCCGTCGCCGTCGCCTAGAAGTAGAAGTAGAAGTAGAAGTAGAAGTAGAAGTAGAAGTAGAAGTAGAAGTAGAAGTAGAAGTAGAAGTAGAAGTAGAAGTAGAAGTAGAAGTAGAAGTAGAAGTAGAAGTAGAAGTAGAAGTAGAAGTAGAAGTAGAAGTAGACGTAGAAGTAGAAGTAGAAGTAGAAGTAGAAGTAGAAGTAGTAGAAGTAGAAGTAGAAGTAGAAGTAGAAGTAGAAGTAGAAGTAGAAGTAGAAGTAGAAGTAGAAAGTAGAAGTAGAAGTAGAAGTAGAAGTAGAAAGAAGAAGTAGAAGTAGAAGTAGAAGTAGAAGTAGAAGTAGAAGTAGAAGTAGAAGTAGAAAGTAGAAGTAGAAGTAGAAGTAGAAGTAGAAGTAGAAGTAGAAGTAGAAGTAGAAGTCGCCGTCGCCGTCGCCGTCGCCGTCGCCGTCGCCGTCGCCGTCGCCGTCGACGTCCGTCGCCGTCGCCGTCGCCGTCGCCGTCGCCGTCGCCGTCGCCGTCGCCGTCGCCGTCGCCGTCGCCGTCGCCGTCGCCGTCGCCGTCGCCGTCGCCGTCGCCGTCGCCGTCGCCGTCGCCGCCGTCGCCGTCGCCGTCGCCGTCGCCGTAGCCGTCGCCGTCGCCGTCGCCGCCGTCGCTGTTTTCGCCGTCCCCGTCGGTCTGCTTTCTCTCTCTCCTCTCGCCTCCCGCCTCGGTCCCGCCCTGCGTTTTTCTTTGCCCCCCCTTTTTGGCTTGGCTTGTTCGCCCCTCCGGTCCCTTTTGTCCTCCTTTCTCTGTGCGCGTCTTTCCTCTTCGGCCTGTCGCTCGCCCCCTTTCTCTTTCCTCCTTTTTTTTCTTCTTCTCTGTCTGTCTCTGCCCTCCGCGCCCGTTTCCCGCTCTTTCCATTTTTGGGCCATGTTATTTTAATATGCAACGAGACGTTTTCTAACCGCAGTCAGCACAAAAATGTTAATCCTTTTAAGTGCGTCGATATCGCTCTAGACATCAGTTAACCGCGCCCCCTCGCCCCCTCTCCCCCTACTCCCTGGATGTTCGCACCAAGCCAAACATTTAATCTTTTGTGGCAAAAAGGTCGCCGGGTTGATTCTAGACACAATTCGAATCGCACACATCTGTTGGCGGGCATAAATCTAATTTGAATGGAAAGTATTTTTCAATCCCCATATATGTGCATGTGCATGTGTGTGTGTGTGTGTGTGCATGTGTGTGTGTGTGGCTTGGGGCTGTCATAACAATTTCATTAACAATTGTGCCTTCTGGCTTTCAGGATAAAGCGCACTGTGTCTGGCCCGGCATATTTATGGGTTCAGGAAATTGAATTAAATCTGCAAAACGGCGACAAACGTAAAAGATATTGATATTTGTTTAGGACATGCAAAACTTTAAGTCTCGATTACATTTTCTTCGAAAACATGCTTTTACATTGAGAGGGTTAACGAAGTTACTTTAGCTGCCAATACTCGAGCACAAGCGAGTTATAATATTATAAAAAATATTTTATAATATTTATAGAAAGTCTGTGTCTAGTTCATAAGCTATCCCCATTCCTTCTGTGTTATTTTGAAGCAGATTAAAATTTGAGAAAGGCTGCTGAAGAAATTTATTTTTTAAAATAAATATCAAATCAAAAATATAATTAACAGTCTGAAAACTTTTCTTTATGTAGCCTAACCAGTTTTTTTTTTTTTTTTGTAAGAACTTTGAAGAGAACTGAAAGTCTTGAAGACATGAAAAATTGTTGCTGTTGATGCTGATCTGGAATATATATACTTTAAGGGGTCGGAAAATGTCCTGCGCATTATAAATTTCATAATACCCTCTACAAGGGTATAAACAATCCAGCCAACATGTAGGACACGAATACATATATGACATTCATTATTAACTTAATTTAAAGTTGACTGAAACCCCAAGAAGTTTTCAGTAGAAGCTGCACCTACTCTATAATAGGCAATTGATTCAGCTCTAGGCTCTGTCGCAAACTAGCCTGGATTCGAAAATATGCCATGTGGTAGATTCTTACACTTGGGAGCTGCGATTGGACTGCCTTGTATCAACCGTATTTTTCTTAATTTAAGAAAATCGGGAAATATTTAAGCTTATTTTTAATTTAAGAAAACTCTCTTGCTTAAAAAAAAACCTATATAAGGCAAATATGATCCCAAAATATAAAATGTTAGCACATATTTGTGTCGAAAGTTCACACTGCGGATTTTTTCGATATAATTTACAATATTTTCTTTTCAAAAACTTTTTTCGCATCTGAAAAAAAAGGCCCAAAATAAATATATTCAGAAAGCAACTTTATACATTTTGAAGCTCTACATTTTTCTTAATTTTGGAGCGATTTACTCAGTGTGTTTAAATTTGTCTATATTTTAGTATGAATTAGAATTTAAATAAACTCACTTTCTAAAGGCAAATTGTAGAATTTAACAATGTTTTTGGGTTTTTCTTTTTATCGGGACGCATCTCATATCTTGTTCTGTTTAATTTTGGTTAATTTTGCAGGCTGGCCCTATGCCCATTATATATATCTAATATCTAATTATATAGCAAAATTCCCCAAAAATCCACAATCTAGTCTCACATTTCCCACAACCATTCAGTTGCAACACATAATTAAGTCGCCCGATTGGCAGCTTTTAGGCAAAATGCGCTGCACTCAATCACATTTGCTAATCTGGAAATCAAAATGTTTTCTCTGTTTTTGGGGGAAATGTCTAAAAACCGCAAAATATGCAGCGATGTCTGCGCTGCGGTGGTTGTCGCTGCACGCACCACCAAGCATAAATCCAATTGGAAGCCGATTTGCTGCGCCCAGCCAAAAATGTTCAATCACAATTTACAGGGGGGTTTGACATTTAAATGAACACATCAGGAGCAGGGGTGGCGGGGCGGCGGGGTCCAGGCCAACATTTCGGTGGTGGATATTTGAAATGTTCGTTGGATTCTATGCATGCAAACGGTTAGACTTGGTTAGTCCTTCCGGGTTGCTGCTGGGCGACGGTTGTTGTTGTCCTTTGTGGTACTTGCAGTAAAGTAAATTAGTTTTAATATACTGGCGGGTATTACCCGGGCTTGCACGGCTCAAGTTGTTAGCTTCTGCCAATCGTCTATTTGCCGCCTGTCAGAAATTAAAATCTACCTTCAATCCCACATCTCAGCTTATATTTACATTATATACACAAACTATTTTGAAGGCGCGAACAAACAAATTTTAGGCATATGTATTTCCATTAATTTTCCACACTTGCGGGTGGATCCAACAGTCGGTGGAGCAAACAGTTTTATATATATATATATATGTAGATGTTTAGTTGGTGTTGACATTCAGTTTTATTTTCGCTGTAAATTTTCATTGTTACAAATGAAAAAATGAAATTTGTTTAAACTCGGAGTATAACTAGCGTATTCATAAAATTTCGTTTAAATTACATAATATTAAACTAGATATTTTCCCATTGCTCTCTCTCTTTCTCTCTCTCTCTCATTAACTGGAGTTTTTCTTTGTCTGCATGCTACGTATCGCTTATTGGTTTTCGTGATATATATCTTTGATTCCCTCATTTGTCTAGTTTTCTATTTAATGTTATTTTTACATGGAAAAACTAAAATAAATTGTGTGAGAACAGAACTTGGACATGTGTATGAGACAGTTTTTAGGTGGAGGGGGGGGGGAGGGATAGTGAGTCATATATATGTGGAGAGTATACGAACATAAATACAATGAATAATACAGAACGTGTCGTACGTACAGAACGATGACTAAACCAAACCATATAAAAACTAGTGTTCATTTTTTAATTAACAGCTGCATGCGATCGCGCTAACTATGGAACTACCACCAAAACTTTTGGTATTTTGAGGCCTACTCATTTGTATTCGTGGGTGTTTTGCACGGGTACTCGATGAGTTTACTGAGTGTTAATTTGAATCTTAAACAAGTTGTATTGTTGTTGTTGTTGTTGTTGACACATTAAATGTTGATGTTGTTGCTTCTTTTGTTGTTGTTGTTGTTGTTGTTGCAGTTATACATTTTTTGGAATTAGTTTAAGTTTTCAAGTATTTTGTGAATCCGAGAGACATTCTGGATTGTGCCAAGCCCTCTAATCCTTGCGCACGTTGCGTTTGCGAGCGGATTTCGTGGTGGATTCCTGCAAGAAATTAATTTGGAATTATATACAATTTTTGCTAGTAGCACGTATCAGCTGTCTTCCTAGGTTTTTACCTCAGTCTGTGTGGGCTCTTCATCCTGCTGCTTCAGCTGCTCTTTAATATCTAATTCAGACTTTTTATTCTTCTTGGGACTGGCAGACTTTGAGTTGTCTGTCTTGTTGGCATCACCAGCCGCCTGCGCTGGTGCCGCAGTCGCATCCACCACTTCCTCACCGCTCTCGTTCTCATCAGCAGCCGGTTCTGGCTCATCATCGGGCTGTGCTTCATCCGTTTTTTTGGCTTGTGCAGCAGCAGCTGTGGCAGCCGAGTCCTGGTTGGGATTGTATTAAGTGGTATTTAGGAATAGTTTTCACAAAATTATAAAAAGTACATTTGGACTAATTGATCTAGCTACATTACCTGACTCTTAGCTTTGCCAAATCTACAATAGATGCCGATTACAGTCAATGCTATGAATATGACCAGGCCAATACCCCAGGCCGTGGGATAAGCCTTGGCTAGCTCAAGCACCTTGTTGACCAATGAGTCCTACAAAATGAGATGAGCAAATAGCAATAAGGGTGCAAAGTGCGTAGGCAATAGGCGAGTGTATGTATATGTGTGTGCAGCTCTATCTAATGTATACATATATAGAAAATATATATCTGAAAAGTGACCTCTTTGGAGCGTCGATACAAATAGAAGATATAACAGCTGGCGGGTATCAGCAGATAGAGAAAATATAATGCCCACCAGCCGGGCTTATAGTTCATGTGCCGCATCAGACGATGCCACAGAGTTTTCTTATTGGAATCAGAATCAATTGAAGATTAGCTTTGTGTGTGTGTGTGGGTATGTGTGTTTCCGTGTGGGCGTGGCAGTTAACTTACCGATTCGCGATCAATATAGCGACGTTTGATATCAAAGCTATTGGCGGCAAAGTCGCGCGCCACATTAACATCGTCCGTAATGATGAGATTGTCGAAGAGTATTTCATTGGACATGGACCACAGTTCCAGGCCAACAGCGCTCTATACCAAAATAATAATTATTCGTAATTAGATCTGCAAATTGAAAAGGGTTTCGACTGCTTACAATGGGCGTCATTTTGAATGGCATGAGATCCTCGAAGAAATGTGGATTGGGTATCTTGCGTGGCGTCCATTTGCCCTGGTAATTGGGATTCTCGATCATGGGTGCACGCCACTTGCCCTTGTACTCGGGATTAGCTATGAGCGGTGCTTTCCATTTGCCGCAGCCTGGCGCCTTTTCACACAATGGATTGTCGACAAGTGGTGCCTCCCACTCGCCATCGATTTCGGTATCCCAATCGTCGGGCTTGGTGGCTGTTGGATCGGGTATCATATCGGGCTCATCCTCCAGCCAGCCATCAGGCTTGCTGGCGCTGGCATCGGGTATCTGTGGCGGTGCGTCATCATTCCAATCGTCGGGCTTTTGTGCTGACGGATCGGGTATTTTCTCGCGCTCATCCCAATCGGTTGGCTTCTGGTCGGTGGGATCATCAATCTCAGCGGGCGGATTGACTGGCGGCTTAAAGTCCGTCAGCAGCGAGCCCTCATTGATGATCTTGTGATCGAGACGTATCTCAAAGCTGTTGTCCGGTCGCACCACCAGTTGATATAAATGGGGCAGCTTGTCCTTGAAGGGCTCCTCCAAGCGATTCCTAAAAACACACAAAACAAAACAATAACAAGTGAAAGTCTGATCAAGAGAGTGTAGAAAATTGAATACCCTCATAATTGACAATTTAAATTCAGATATTCGTTACAAAATAACTGAATATATTGTAAAGCCCTCTGTTAGGGTATAACATGTGAATGAACTCAAATCAGCGGCAGCTGTTGCGCATGGGGTTAATCTATGTGCATATAGGTATATAACCGTCCATAGATGCGTCGGGTTATCTGCACAGCACAAAAAATACAAAGTGGTTGCAAGCGGGCGGGTTTGTGAACGTGTGTGTGTGTGTGTGTGTGTGTGTGTGTGCGGCATATGGGGGTCCACTTACTTTGGTTTGTTACAGTGCTTCTCGGTTATGGTGCCGTTAATTGGATTTACATGACGGAATATGAAGTGCATTTTCACATCGTTGCCGCACTTGTCCGGTCCAAACATGATGGTGTAGGGTGTTTTGTCATTGAACTAAGGCGAAACACAAGCACAAACAGGAATAACAATAAATAAACATGGAAAAAACATAGTGAAATCATATTTCAGCTGTCTGCCAACTAACCGTTGTGAGATCTTCGGTTTCCTTGCCCGACGACAGCAGCTTTAGGTACGAGCCGCCGCACTCTTGACCCTCCTGCGGAATACATGTCGGAAAATTGGGTCGATTAGTGAAACTAGTTTGCTATTAATTGGATTAGTCAATCCGGCGGCGTTGGCTGATGCAATCCACATTGTCTTTGCATTGGCTAGCGGGCTGGTTATTGACTCACCTGCATTGTAACCTCATATTGCACCACCAGCGGCTTGTTCGCTTTGAAATCGAACTGTTTGCTGAGGCGCGCCGAAATGGCCGCATGCTTGGCCTTCGATTTGAGCACCAGACCCTTATCCTTGGGCCAAACAATGCGCAACGGTGGCTCCCAATTCCAGATGCCATCGTATTTGGCTATCTCCTCGGCTATGTCATCCTTTTTGGCCTGCGATTTGATCCATTGTTTGCGCGAGGCCTCAACATCATCGAAATGATCGGCAAAGTGAAACTTTTTCGGCTCAATTACGGGACTCTCGTAGACCAGCTCCTCGCCGAGATTGTCAACGGGCTCCTCCTAAAAGAAATGAGAGGTGAACCAGAGATTTTGAATTTACATATCAAAAAGCAAGACTCAAAATGGCATAGGGAATCCGCAAAGTCTAGCACTGATAATCTGCGAGATTTGGCCGGGCTGATAACGATTCTGGGAGCAGGGGTAGAGTTATCTTTGATTTGAAATGGACTTGACAAGGCAGACAGCCGGACAGACGGACATGTCTGGACCGCTTCGTTGCTGCTGATTAAGAATTTATATGCATCTGCACAGCTGCAATATGCCCTTTATTATTCACATTTAATGGGTACAAGGTACAAACAAAGACCACGCGGCTGACACACTTTTTTTTTTTTATCAAGACGCAGCGAGAGATAGAAGCTGAGCGCGTGTGGATAGCGAGGGTGGAGTAGGAGGAGGAGAGGGGGGAGAGGGGGTGTTGGTCTTGCGCAAGTTTGTTGGCTTAGTTTATATGCATATGTATGTGTGCATGTGTGAATGTGTGCACATATGCAAGTGCAAATCGAAATTGTAACGCGGGCCAGCTCCATGCACTGCGGTCACACTTTACTCGCGTATACAATTAACCCCCATAACGCCCCACATAAAAGAAAAACAACAACAAGAACAGTTGTTGCTACTGACGTGTACTTTTGTGCGCCGGTGGCAACCGGCCGCCGCATGTATCCATGTGTGTGTGTGTGTGTGATAATATATGTTTGTATGTATGCATGGCTGTTTTTTTTTTTTTTTTTTTTTGGCTCACCTGCACATCTTCAACGATCCCGTCGTCATCAAAGTCGTCGATGTCCGCCTCAGCAGCGCCGGCTGCTGTGGCAGCAGCCGCCAGGCAGCTGACGGCCATCAGCAACAGCAACGCCCGCGCTGCTCGGCGGCTCCGGCTAATATTTAGCTGCTGCATTTTTTGCTTGTGGTTTTTTTCTTCGCTTTCAACCACCTCCTCTGTATGTATGTGCTTGTGTGTGTGTGTGTGTGTGTGCTATGGTTAGCGGTTCTAGCGCTCGTTGATGGCTTTTGTGCCTGCCTTGCGTTGCTTTTCAACGTTTACTGCGTACTGCCGGGCGCTGTGGGGCAAAACGAAAAATGAAATCTAACGCGGCCAACTAAATTTGTAATTAAGTTAAATTAAATTATACATTCTCACTGCGCCTACTGCTGCTGCTTCTCGCTGTTTGTGCTTCTTCATTCGCCTTTAGTTCGGTTGCAACTCTGCTACAATTTGTGCCTAAAAAATACTGAAAAGCGCATGTGCGGGTATTTTTTAGTGTTGTGCAGTGCGCATGTTCGCCATGTTGCTGACGTCACAGTTGGCGATATTTGAATTAGCTCCAGCATTTGAATTACAATTTGAAATAACGGACATTGCTTAAAAATGAAAATGTGTTGTATATTAATTAAATTTGACACGGACTGAAATTAATTTCTTCTCATAGTGGCTTGCAGTCTCTAAATGGATTAATAAAAATATTTGTATGGTATAAAAAAAAACAATAGCTTTGTCAAAAGTGCTCGACTTGCAGATATCCTGTAGGTCTTAATTGACAGTTACAGTCGCTTCAAATATTCTTAGCCATGAAAATCGCATAGAAAGGCGAATTTTAGTTAGTTAAAATTCTAGTGTGAGAGAGAGAGACCAAGAGCTATGTTACAAAATATATGAGAGAGAAAGCGTTTCGGCAAAAGAGCGAAGGAGACAGACGAAAAGTGATAGACTGAAAGTGATAAAAAGCACATCAATAAGTCAGTAAAATATATAAAAATAAGTCAATGAGCTTTATGAAAATTGCTTTTAAATTAAAACTAAAACAACACCATGATGTAAGAGAGAATTGATAGTAAATTCTTATATATTTTCAATTCATGACAAGTGTCCATCACAGAACTTAGCCATAGAATTCTTAGGAATAATTATCCAAATAGAGCAACATAATAAAAATGAATAGCACTTTGTGCAAATGTTTCCCAGAAACTATAGTTTAATCGATTGATGACCGCAATTTTACCATAGAGTAGCTATTGGGAAGCATATAAAATAAATGTTAAACTCGTATTTTTTTTTTTGCAATTATTTTAAAAGCTTGCCAGCTCAATTAATGCGCCACTAAACTCTATAATAAAGTCGTTTGAGGGGGGGGGGGGGGGGGGGGGGGGGGGGTGATAGCAAAACTTTTCTATATGTACACGATGCACATAAAATGTCGTGCATTTGAGCATAAAATTATAATAAAAATTGCAGGCTTATATTCGATGCGAGTGCAGCTAGCTGCCAACCCACCCCACCCTACCCCCTCACTACCCATATCTGCCCCCTTTTTGTGGGCAAGGCTTCTTTCAAGCATTCAATTTATCTACACTGGCATCGGTGCAACTGACTGTTGCAGTTGCAAACAAAAAAGCTTTCTGTTTAATGGAATATTTAACACAATTTAAAAAGTTTCTAAAGACAAACAATGGCTCAGGCACAATCAGCCAGAACTTTTATTGCAGCTCTCTGTGCAATACACAAACACACACACACACACATACACGAACATATAGAGGCACTCACACACACTCCTTTGTTGTTTATGGAAATTGTGTAATGACAGTTAATGACGGTGCTACACCTAGATATGCATAGTCTACATGTTGTTCTGCCTCCTTAAAGCCCGTCCCTGGCCCTCTGCCAACACAGCAGCGCATAATTAGCTTGGAGTGTCAGTGTTGGTAAGTGTTTTATTAGCTCAAGCAACAGTGCAGTACGCCTACAAACACTTGTGCTCGATTTTCGCTGTTGTCGCTGTTGTTGCTGTTCCACTAAGCAAAAAGGGGTGCATAATAGAAGCTCCACACCATGACATACTATACAAAATTTAGATGCTATACCATATAATGGGTGTGCTATATGGGGCACACAGATTTTAGCCTTGTTCTCGTTTCTGTATGTTTCTTTGAGCATATGTTGCATTTATATGTTTAACTTAAATTGCATTAAGTATTTCATAGTGTTGATTAATGTCGAAAATGTACAGTATAAAAAATCCTGCAAACCGGAACAGAGCCTGGAAATACAATTTTTTCAAACTTTAACCAAACTTTCTATTTACAATTAGTTGAAAAACTAAATTAGGCGCGACCTTACTTAAATAAATAGAAATATTTTCGTTCGAAATATTTAAAAATTATTATTTTGACATCCATAAAACTCGAAAAGGACGCCTAAAATATTTTGTATACTCTTAATGCGCAAAGAATGTCAGAAACTAAGGCTCGTACGTGGTTTAATGGTATTAAAAAGTCAGACTTAAGCATCAAACCGAGATGCTGGTTCAAAACGTGAACCTAACCGATTGTTCCTTTTTTAAATATACCTTTAAATATATGAAATTAGTGTTGATCAATCGATTATAAAGTCAAATGTGTTTCAAACACAATTCCTTTTTTCTGTTAAAACTAGTTCAAAACGTGAACCGAAACGTGAACCAAAGGTTCCTTTTGGGGTTTCCTTTAAGTCTATAAAAGTAGTGTTGATCAATTAAACATTTTGTTATATTTAGTAGTGTTGATTACTGCCACAAATAATAGTGTCTCCTTGAAAAGTAACAATTTCTTATGGCTGCATGTTTGAGCTCTTGATTTAAATTGTTTTCATGCAGTTCATAGCTTTGATTAATGACGTACAATGTAGCGCATCTCTGTCTCTGTCTCAGTCTCACAGGGAAAAAGGTCCTTTATTAAGGACAATTTTGCAGCCATGCTGCTGCGCAAATATGCAACACTTAGAAAACGCACTTAACACCATAAACACGAGTACATAAAACAAAAAAAAAAACAACAAAATAAATATGCAAACACACAGAGAGGAAGACACGGGCACAGAGACTAACATTGACAGTAGCTCATCAGGAGGCTTAATGCGCAGGAACAGCGGCGGCAAGGATGTCGACATTAATTTTGATAGCATAGCGCGAAAGTTTTGTTTTTAAGCTTTTGGACAGCGTTTCTGTGTGCACAATAATAAAAAATAGCTAAAACTCAAACATTTTCACCTGCAGTAGGCAGGTGTGTCTGTCTGTGTGTGTGTGAGTATCAAAAAACATATGAAGGAAGCGTCGTTACAAGCGCACGAGCTCAACTTAGTGTGTACTTAACTTCCGTTACATGAACGCCATGCTACACTCACACACACACACACACACACTCAGTCCATTCACACGCATGGCCAGCTGCAGTGTATGTGTGTGTGTGTGTGTGTGCATGGTGTTTGTTTGTTTATGCCAAAAGTGTTGTAAAGTGCGGCGCTTTGTCGGCAGGAAACGCTGAAAATTTATTACCGGACAATTTTGCACAGGCCAAAAAAAAAGGCCAGAGACAAGCAGGTTCTGGGCTCGGGCCATAGGTCGCACAATGCCCACACCCACACACACACACACACACACACACACACACACACACGCACAGAAGCACAGCCATTCATATGCATATGCATAGTTTGCCGGGCAACGTAAGTGTATGCAAACATGCCTAAAAAAAAAAAAATTGAAAACACAATTTCGGAGCAGGGGGCAGCTGCCTAAGCAGGCGGGCGGTCTGCATTAAAAATTCAAAATGCCCGACGCGCGGCGGACAAGGGCCTGCCATTAACACCGAACTAGGTGGCGCACACACACACACACACACACACACCCACACACACGCTTGTTTGGTGGGCTCTTAAGCGCCTGTCCTTGTGTGTGTGTGTGTGTCGGCGCCTTTGCTTTGCTTTGCTCGCCTTTCAACAGCTCGTTTTCGCACCTTTCAAATGAGTCCCGTTCTATGTGTGTGTGTGTGTGTGTGTGTGTGTGTGTGTGTGTGTGTGGGTGTGCGCTCAAGAATTTGCAGCGCCGTTGAAACTGAATTGATTTGTTATTCATGTTTGCTGACTTATGGCCAACACTTTGGGCGTTGCGCCTACCATTCAACGTATCCTAGCCCCGGCCTCGGCGCCAGATATCCTGTTTATGCTCGTTCGCAATGTCAAAGCGGCTATATTTGTTCTATTAAACGCCTACACCTAACTCTATCCACATGAACGTTAGAATCTTAACATTGTTGAATATTTATAATCTTGTTTATATATCTGATAAGTTAATTATATGGCAACTCTCACTTGGAGGCGTGGCAATTCGTGGTTATCTTTAACTAATCCATTTTAATTATATCCCCCCCATCATATCCCTATTTATGAGACCTTAAGTTCCAGCTAAATAATGTTTGGATTGTACAAAATGTTGTCATAAATTGTATCTAACTGCGTCAGAGTATCGCGCAGTCGGTTGCATGCGTCTGCAACATTCTTATTTGTTTTTTTTTTTTTTATTTTGTTGCTTCCTTTATTTCTCACTTGGCTTGTATTTTGGGTTTTTCTCCTCCTTTATTTTTTTAGGTGAATAGTGAAAATTTAATGCACGCGCATTCACCTGAAAGGCGAATGTGTGTGTGTGTGTGAGGGTGTGTGTGCGTGTGTGTGTGTGTGTCGTGCTTGAAACAGGCTCAGGGCCCGCTGAAGTTGCTCTTTGGCTTTTATTTTTATTAAATTGCCGCAAGGGGAACATTTAGCGCATGTTTTAATAAAAAATTAAAAAAAAAAAGAGAGAGAAAGAAAATAAAATCAAAATAAATAAAAGCGAAATTCACGAGTCGCGAGCCATGAATTGGCAACGGTTTGCGAAAGCTGCCCAAATGGGTTGGCCCGCCGCGCTAACGTGGCCAAAAACAAAAAAAAAACAAAAAATCCAAAGAGTTTGGGCTTGCGGTGCATGAAGCAGCGATAATGCTATTTTTGAGGACGCGCGCATAAATTATAAATATTTTTTGGTTACTTTTTATTTATGGTTTTTTATGAATATTTCCTTTAGCGGGCTTATAAAAAGTTAAGTATATTTAAGTATTTCATTCAGTTCTTCAGTTAAGTTGTATTGCGGCATACTTAAGTATTGCTGCAATAACTACTTTGGCTGTACTTAAATAAGTTAATATCAGAAGTAAATTGATTTAATTTTAAATTGTTCTTTAAATGCATCTTTATTTCAAGGCTAATTATCAAGTTCAGTCTAGAGTACATTAGTATTTAAAATTTAAATAAATATAAATTAGATCGAATATGTTTTACCCTGTTAAACGTAAAGATAGATCAGTTGAATCTTGGATACTTAAGCACTTTTCTTTA